GGAGAGTGCAAACAATAAAGCAGATGTAGCAGATTGTCAATGTAGGTTAGTCTGGGTGATGGGTGTACGGTTGCTCTTTGTTATGTTTTTCAGACTTCTCTATAAATTTGAAATTATTTTCAGAGTTGAATGTTTAAAAAGAACSACCTGTGAAATTTAAAATAGTGGACCAGATAGATTATTTAATGGGTATTTGAAAAGCATTTGAGRCAAAGTTTTAACATTCTAGAGGCAKTGAAACCCAGCAGTCCTTAAATAGGAATTGATAGGTATTTCCTTAATATGATTAAAAGGGGAAAAARTAAAAACTAAATRCATTTAATGATGAAATGCTAGAAATTAGGTTCATAACATACACAGATAACTTTGTATGGTCTGTAAACCCCTGTAATTTATGTATGAACACATTCTGCCTTTGGAATGGAAGGACTTACTTTTCATTAAATTCTAAGGTGACTATTCCCCCAAAGTAGTAAAAAGCCAGTGTACAATTGCCTTTCAGAATATTAGGAAGAAAATAAGGATTCTGGGAATGCCATTTCTTAAAATTGTTCCAGATGCTCTGAGTAGTGTGCTCACAATTTCAGAAGATGGAAGCTTAAGCCAAGATTATCATGATTTGCAGATGATAAGAGTGATTTAGATAACACTCGCGAGATACATTCTTGAAATGAAACTGGTAGGCCAAAAGCTCTTGATGTATTTTATCAGAAAGCTTAATATTAATTCACAACCCTGCCAGAAGCACACTAGCCTTCTCCCTCACCTGTGCCCACACTGTGGGTGAGCACTGTTCACCTGGAAGCCCTGGAGAACCTTGTTGTTGTTGTTGTTGTTGTTGTTAGTCTCCCTTCATCTGGCAATAGCCCATTAAAAAGTATAAGGGAGGGGAAAGTCCCAGTCCTATAGCAACAGAAAACATAAATTTCTTGGAAATAATCTGAACTGTAGCAAGATTATATAAAGCTACTAAAACTGGACTGAGAGAGAAATAAAATTTGAATTAATAGGCAGTCTTTGTTCCTTAAAGGGAAGGCTTAATATTGTGAGAGCATTTTAGGATATTTGCTCTTTCTAACTTAATTGTAGTTTAAAGSAAGTTAAACTACAATGTGATGTTTTCTGAGATTTGAGTAATGTATTCTGAGTATTACCTGGATGAATAAACAAATGAGAGTATCTAAAAGATTTAATGGAAAAGAAAAAAACTGTTGACATYGGGGTTAATAAAATGTTACAAAACAACAAGTAAATCAAAAACAAAACAGGAGAATAAATTCAGACTGCATAAAAATTTAAGTTGTTAAGAAGCATAGCAAATCAGGAGAGTCTTTTAATAGACCTCAATAACACAGTCAGCTGTTGTGAAGTGGGGAGAATCCTGGCCTCATATCATATAAGTGAATGGATTTTTGAACATTTTTTTCAAAGGCAAACAATTAAAAAGCTAGAGTAAAAATATTTGATCAGAGATGTAAAAAAAAAATTCTAAGCATAAAAAAGTAACAAAAAGAGACTTAAAAGGATTTCAAACTTCTTTAGGTTAAAAAATATATCATGAACCAAATTAAAAGACAAAGAACAGGGAAATAATAAATAAATTATTTACATTCTATCTCTATATGCACAGCTCATAAAAAAATAATCAGAAAGCCAGAACTGTAGTAGGATAAGGGAGGAACACGAACAGTGAGTTCAGGGTAGAAACCCAGATGTCGAATGGACTTGGAGAGTGTATCCAGCCTTACACACAGATGAAAACAGCTRTGTTATTTTTCAGCTATACATTAGAAAAATTTTGCTTTTGTTTAAGCTCATATTCAGTTCTGCCTGGGTCAAATGAGGAAGACACTTATACACTACTGGTGAGGGTGTCAATTGATCCAAGCATTCTGGAAAGTCATTTGGCAAAGTGAGTCAAAGCCTTCGATCTAGTGCTTTAACTTCCAGGAATCTCTCCTAAGGATATTATTAAAAATTGTCCAGAGACATTTATCATGGCATTGTTATAACAGCAGAAAATCAGCATCAACACAATGATCTGCTAATGGGAGAACTGTAAAACAAATGGTTAGATCCATACAGTCATGCAGGTATTTTAAATGTTTACAAAGAAAGCTTAATGATGCCCTTAACTGAATATGGTGTTTCAGACTACTAACAATTATTTCCTCTGTGTTGCTAGTGGAGTGACATTTTTTGCTTCTTTACATTTTTTGTTTACTTTCTAAATTTTATATGGTTAAATTTATCATTTTTCCATCAGGGATGAAAGTCTTTCTGTGAAGAAGTTTTTACTGTATCAGGTGAAAGATGGGTTTCTGCCTCAGCAGCTATTTAATTGTTAGAGAAGTCTTCTGCCTTGGGTGCACATGTAAACACAACACTTCATATTTCAGATGGGACAGCCACATTAGCAGTGATTAAGCCATGCAGCTACCTGTAAGATGGATCATTTAAAGCCATACGGGCTGTGACTGCTGGGTGGCCTGTGTAATCTCCCTTAATGGCATGGGACTTTGTCAGAGGGGCCCTTTCCCCTTTTTCCTTCTTTTAAAGACTGACTAGTATCGATTTCCTACACTTCTAGAACTCTGGGTCGGTCTCACAGGAAGAAGTTTGCAGCAGGTGGTAGRTTAGTGAGCTATTGTTTCATATAATATATTTTTTAGTTTAAAAATTTGTTTTACTAGACCWTATATCTCAGTTCTCAGCAAAGCTTATTCAACCTCTAGTTTTCTAGTTTACTTTTCTTGGTCCCCCTTCTCTGCTGCAGAATAAATCCAAGAGACACATTATGAATGCATAGAAGATACCACAACAAAGCCCAGGTTTTATCGTACCTTATTTTTCCCCCTTCTCTGCTGCAGAATAAATCCAAGAGACACATTATGAATGCATAGAAGATACCACAACAAAGCCCAAGTTTTATCGTACAATATTTTTAGAGTGAGAATACATGTTTAGCCATGGCCAAATAAGGCATTAATTACTTACCAAAAATGAACTGTGCACAGTGGCACATGCCTGTTATCCCAGTGACTTGGGAGGCTGGGACACAAAGATCACAAGTTCAAGGCTGGCTCCAGCAGCTTAAYAAGGCCCAATGCCATTTAGTGAGATCTGTCTCAAAAAGGGCTGAGGATGTGTCTCAGTGATAAAGCACTCTTGGGTTCAATCCCCAGTACCAAAAAATAAACATGAAATTTTTATACTTTGTTATTATTTTCAAGACTTGTTCTGTTATTCCCTAGAAACCTCCTGGATGTGCTTATTGATGTAAGGATATTGTATTCACGTATGGAATATTTTTTTAACTAAGAGTCTCTCAGTTGTGCAGGACTTAGAGAATCTCTGCCTGTGTTGCCAAAGTTGAAATCATATAAATGTATATTTTTATGTTGAGGTTGCACAARTGCCTTTCAGCTGTAAAACGATGGCAGTAACTAAATGGTTGTCTTCCCACAGGAGTGCATCTTTACTATGTTGGAGGGGAGGTGTATGCYGAATGCCTCAGTGACAGTAGCATCTTTGTGCAAAGTCGGAACTGCAACTACCATCATGGATTTCACCCCACTACTGTTTGCAAGATCCCTAGTGGGTGTAGCTTGAAAATTTTTAACAACCAAGAATTTGCTCAGTTGTTGGCACAGTCTGTGAACCATGGTTTCGAGACCGTCTACGAGCTCACAAAAATGTGTACTATACGCATGAGCTTTGTGAAGGTGAGTGAGCTCCGATTGCTCTAGGCTRGGCTTAATACATTTTGCTGTGCCTTGTAGAAGTGTATCAGTCTACAGCCTCTTGATACATTTCAGTCATAGCAGACTTACTATCTARGGATTTTTAAACCTTAACCAGCATGTGAATTTCTAAGAAAATATTGGGACATAGGAGCGCTTGTGTTAAATGTCAATTGCAGTAGCCTTCARTAGCCTGTTCCTTATACAAATTTAGCTGTTTTAGCTACTTTTATGATAGTAACACTTGTTACTTTTGGTTCAATGATAAGTGCGTGATCTTTTTGTAAAAATAAAAGTTCATCACACTGGATTTTTCTTTTTTTCTTTTTTTTTTGGTGTTGGGATTGAACCCAGGACCTTGTGCATGCAAGGCAAGCACTCTACCAACTGAGCTATATCCTCACCCCTGGAAATTATTTTTGACTGGTCAGGGTTTTTTTTGTTGTTGTTGTTTTAGTGGTTCTAGTACATCTTGTACTTTTCATATAGTTCAAAATTTATTAAGGCCCTTGCTCYAAGATAGATACCTTATTAGCTTTAAGTGCATTAGGTGTGTATTGTATGTTTGAAGAGAAGGTTAAAGACATGCTTGTACTAACTGGTCACTCTGTGCTGCCTCATCTTGTGCCTCTGAGAAATGAAAGTTTCTAAGATGCCATTGAAATGTAAAAAAAAAAAAAAAAAATTTGAATATCTGATTATATTTAATGAGTCACTGACTTATTCTAGAAACTGACTGACTTGTCTCTGATTTCTCAAAGATAAATTTTCATCCTGTGTCACTCTGAGAAACACAACTAATTACAGACTTGGGTGAGGCCTTCACCCTCTATGTCGTTTCTTTAGAAGCTCACTTAGCTAGTTATCAAACCGGTTTTGTAATGTATTTATTACTGAGGRTAATTTTGGAACCTTATTTTGTTCATCATTCTTTAGATCAAATGTATCTTTTCCCAAATAYCATTTTTTCCTGTTTTGAGTTTCTTAGCAGATTTTTGGTATGTTTTCTTACTGCTTCTTTTCTCAAAATGTAGTTCAGTGGTTCTTTGCAACGGAGCCTGGTACCTCTTTAATATTAAAAGAGGGTTTTGTTTTGTTTTGTTTTACCCCTTTCAGAGTTTGACCTATTATCCATGTACATATGAGACTACAAAGACCATTTTCATCCATTTTTAATTCACTATTTAATTTTTGACTTAGCATTTTGACTCAGGTGATTTTTAAAATAAGGACATGACTTGCCTAAAGCATTTTTTTTTTGTTTGTTTCTTTTTATTGGTTTGGAGGAAMGAACAGCCTGAAGAGATACAGGTTCTTCTTCTTCTAGCTGTCTTTGCCTTTTTTGTTTTAATTTTGGACAGGGTCTTGCTAAGTTGTCAAGACTGGCCCTAAACTTGTGATCCTCCTACCTCAGGCTTCCAAGTTGCCYGGCTCACAGGTGTGTGCCACCTCACCTGGCCTCTAGTTGCTATTTTAACTGTGTGACTAAGGTGCAGGGACTCCTCTGAGGGCCTCATGTTCCTCATCTGTAAAATGGGGGTGGATGGAGCTGGGACTGTGGTAATTATTCTATGATCCCTTGTGAGTTTATTATTATTGAAGGCCACTCTGGAAGAATTTATGGCTCTAATACTCCAATTAGTTGCCTCTTCTGATTCATTTCATATTAATTAYCCAATCAATTTTAACTATTTCACTTTTATAGTTTCTTTTTTTAGCATGAATAAACTTTTACATTTTATTTTTTTAAATTTTTTTGTTTTAATTAGTTACACATGACAGTATGATGATCTTGACATATCATACATTTGAATCAGATGGGATATAATTTCTCATTTTTCTGAGTGTACAGGTTGCAGAATCACATTGGTCATGCAGTCACGGGAGGGGAAGGGAGGGGAGGGGAAGGGGGGAAAGGAAGGACAACAGAATAAAATAGACATTATTATTATATGCTGTGTGTATATCTGTGACTGCACTTTTATAGTTTCAATAATGTACTTTTACACAAGAAAAAAACTTTTACACTAATAGATTTTATTCTTTCAGCCAGAATTTTAGCAGTATTCCAGAGAAGGAATACAAAGATGAAAACAACCTACAGTCTCTAGCTTCAGGATGCTTGTGGTCTCACACATGTAATTAATACAACATACTCATGTGCACTAGCATGAAGGGGCTGACACCGTGTAGTGGACACAGCTGGAAAGCTGGGTTTAGAGAGCTGAGGATAAACGAATCTTAGTAAAAACTCTTGCTGACATCGTAAGGGATTCCCATATATTAGCAACAAAAACATTGCAGATTGTTTTTACAGCATTGTTCTTCATTATCACAATGACTGGACACTTCACCCTCTGCCATTCAGCATCTTGGAGAAATGCTGAGGAACATTAATATAACCAACATTAATAACCAATCTTGCACCATTTTTAAGCTTGCCGTTTTAGGATGCTAATATAAAGCATATATTTCATAAATTATTTGCATCTTAAACTCCCCCATAGATGAAAAATCTAGATCTCTTCAGCTGAACAAGGGTGTATAGAGCTTCTGCTCTGTGCCAGTGACTGTGCTGGACGTTGTCCCTGCCTTCTCAGAACCTGCTGTCTGATGGAGGAAAACCAACACATTCCATTTAGCAATATATTAATGGAGGTTCAAGTTCATGTGTCTGCGTACTATGTGCAGGTAGAGTTCACATGTCACCACTGTCTCCTGAAGGTCTTCACACTCAGATGTACCTCTCGAAATTGCTAGAGTAGGTAGCCAGCCTTCTGTGGTACACCTCAGGGAACAGGGATCAACCAGAACTTCATGTTCTGCTGTCCACGCTTGCCAACAAGTCTTTGAGCTCTGAAGTGGCAGTATTACTCTGCTCTTTATCTTCTATGGAATTTAGGGTCCTGATTCAGTAATTTTGAAGATGTCTGCCAAGCTGCCTTCTTATACAAATGAATAATTAAATGCTGACTTCAGGCAGTGGCTAGGTAACTTTGGGGATACTTACATGCACTCCTGCCAGTTTTGCTTAGAGATCAAAAGATCAAGAGGTCCGTGTTGATAGGCAGACCTTAGGTGGCTGAACAGGGAAGAGAGGGTATCAATGTCCAAAGAAGCCTTTTCCTTATTTTATTGATGATAAAATGAGAATTTAATAATAGCTATTACCTTACTATCAGAAGGGAATGGGAAATGAATATGAAAGTTAAAAAATGTGTGTCTTTTAAAACTTTCATTCCCCAGGGCCAATAATTCTTGTTGTTTTGTTTTTTAATATTTTTTAGTTGTCAGTGGACCCTTATTTATTTATATGTGGTGCTGGGAATCAAAACCAGTGCCTCACTGCTAGGCAAGTGTTCTACCACTGAGCCCCAGCCCCAGCCCCAGCCCCAGCAATTCTTTAACCTGGAGTCCTCCAGTGGCCAGCACCATTTCCCGCAGGTTGCCTGCCAGATGGCGTGTATGTGCGCACTCTTCTGGGAACTGTCTGTCGCTTCAGTCAGAGTCCCTGATTAGGTGAACTCCTTTTACTTAATAAGTTGAACACTGCATTAAACAAGTTAAATGACCCCTGCTTTGTTTTTTTCCAGGGCTGGGGAGCAGAATACCACCGCCAGGATGTTACTAGCACCCCCTGCTGGATTGAGATACATCTGCACGGTCCCCTCCAGTGGCTGGATAAAGTTCTCACCCAGATGGGTTCACCTCATAATCCTATTTCATCAGTGTCTTAAATGGCCTCAGGCTTCTGCCTCTTGAAAACTATTGAGCCTTGCATGTACTTGAAGGATGGATGAGTCAGACCCAATGGAGAGCTGACAAAGGAGCCTTGATAATACTTGACCTCTGTGACCAACTGTTGGATTCAGAAATTTGAAAACCCTTGGTAACATACTATTGATATCAAGAACCTGTCTAGTTTACATTGTAACATTCTCTTGTAAAATCAACTAAAATGCAGACTTTTAGCAGGACTCTGTGTATAGTTAAAGAAGAGATGGCCAAGCCAGGGACAAATTATCTATTAGAAAAAATGGTCCTAAGAGATTCTTTTGTGTTTGGCACTTTAGGGTCATCGTTTGGCAGAAGTTTAGCATTAATGGTTAGTCTTTCTGAAGTGTGTTTTTATCAGGTTTAGGGCCCATGTTGAATCTTCTTTTCATGGGTTTTCATAATTTTTAAAACTATTTGTTTAGTATTGGTTTTGTTTGTTTTTAAGTAAAGATTAATCTTTATGATATACATAGTAATCTTTCTAAAATTGTATGCTGACCATACTGCTGTCAGAATAATGTTAGGCATATGCTCTTTGCTAAATATGTATGTACAGAATATTTGAAAGTTAAGAATTGATTAGACTAGTGAATTTAGGAGTATTTGAGGGGGTGGGGGGAGGGGGGAAATGACAATTGCAAATGTAGAATATACTGTAAAAATTCAGTTTGTCGCCTTAAAGAAACGAACTGATGTCTGAATTTTGCTGTGTTTCAATTTTTTAGAGATTTTTATCTTCTTTTTTTTTTCTTCTCTCCATCCTTTCCCCAAAAAAAGCAGTTATGCAGCTGGTTAATTCATATAACTGTGAGAGCAAATGAATAATTCCTGCTATTCTGAAATCGACTGCCTATGTATTTCAATACCAATTGTATGGAGTGCTTGAATTTATTAAGCAGTTTTTATGGAGTTTACAGTACAGAAACAGGCTTTAATTTTCAAATGAATTATTTGCCAAACCTAGTAACTGTTAAATATTTGGAGGATTTAAAGAACATCCCTGTTTAAATCCATTTCAAACTTTTTTAATTTTTTTGTACTATGTTTGGTTTTATTTTCTTCTGTTATCTTTTATATTCACTTATGCTCTCGTACATTGAGTACTTTTATTCCAAAACTAGTGGGTTTTCTCTACTGGAAATTTTAAATAAACCTGTCATTATTGCTTACTTTGGTTAAAAATTGGTGAATTTCATTCTTTACATATTAGATTTTAGGGTAAGATTTGCTTTTCTTTTGAAAGTTTTTTTTTCCTCAGATATTCTCTGCCAAATAAAACAGGTGAACTAAATAACTAATAAAGAGGAATCAGGTAGAGAGCAAGGTCCCTTTAAGTCAGAAAAGGAAGGACAGGTAGAACTAAAAAAATGTGAGAAAAACCTAGCAGAATCTAAATGTACACATCCTTCAGTGTGCAGAAATACAGCAGCAACCGTTATTGGTTGGTGCCRTTCAGTCACCTGAAAGAACCAGTTTCCAGCTCAGATGACACTAAGAGTGACTGGAGGGTGTTACTGGGGGGCAGTGGGTGGTGCTGAGAACTCAGCGCAACAAGAGAAATTGCTTTTGCAGTTCTCTTGGGTTTTGGTATGATTCCAAACCCCTCCCAAAGGAAAAAAAAAGAGAGAATGATTTTGTCCGTAAGGGACCCAAATTTTGAGGACTTTTACATACTTTCCTGACCAAATAGATGCCACTCTTTCTCCTTCACATTTTCTCTCTTTCCTGGAGGTGTACCAGACCTAAAATTTTAAGATTCTTTCTCTTCCCATTTTAAACCCAGCTTAAAAGGAAAAAAAGTGCTGCCCCCCTCCCCATCACCAGAATGCAGTATCCCCACACTACGATCAAGAAAAGATCCCCACTTCTTATTGTTGTCTGCCAAGTCACCAGAGTRCAATAGAGAAAGCCCTGGCTAGAAGATACATGTTATAACAAACTCATGCCCATCTGTKCGGATCCAACTTCTGTGAACCTGTTTTCTCATTTGTTAAGCAGAGATCATGTAGTTATGTTCTTATCACAAAACTGAGATGAGGATCATTCAGATAAAAATACGTA